GATAAGTTGTTTGGCTCTGGGCATGTTGAGTTTCAAGACATCCAGAGAAGCATGCCTATTTGTAGGCAGCTGGGAATAGGAGTCTAGACTTAGTGGTCAGAGTTGGACTAAAGATATGGAGTTGAGAGTTGAAAAGCATGAGGTAGAAAAAGAGGACAGAATGCACCTTTGGAGAACAGCTATATATCGTGGGCTAAGAGGGAGCTGTTTGTATATCGAGGGAGGCCCTGGACCTCCAAAAGTCTTCAGCCCCATGTGGGTATTTGTATGTAAATCCATTCTAATTATATCAGATTAAAAATTCAGTTATTCAGTTGCCACATTTCAAGCGCTCAATAGCTGCATGTGACTATATTGTAGGCACAGACAGACAACATTCCCTTCATCACACAATGTTCTGTTGAACAGTGCTGCTGTAGACTTTGAATCGTCTCAAAGATACAGCAGTGTGAAAGTCAGAAAGGAGTCTGGGTTGAGGATTAACTACATTGTGAGAGACACTGAAGACATCGAGTAGAAACCAATCTTAGTATGGGAAGAAGAGAGATGAGCAGTAATTTAATGGGGAGGCTGGGGATGCAGGAATCCTTAACATCGTTACAGTAGAGAGAATAGACTGAGTAAAAGGCTTAGTTAATAAAATACAGAACAGTACATGTTTACACACACAGAACATCTAGATTTTTTTTTTTTGATTTTTTTTTTAGGACAAGCATTTTCAGCAGCCATTCCTACTTTATGATAGTCAGATTTGCCTATCAAATGTTAAATGTGAGGAAACTAATAGTTTTGGCACATATAAAACTGTAAACTTCACCCTAACACTTTTAGGCACAACTCCGACGCTGTATGTCTAAGCAAGCAGAAGTGTTAATCAAAGGGAAGCAGCAGACAGAGGGCACATTACACAGCTTGAGGAGACAAGTTGATGCGCTGGGGGAACTGGTCACCAGCACCTCTGCAGATTCCGTTTCGCCACCATCACCCAGTCTGTCTCCACTGGAGTTTTCTTTTGCAGAGGACTGTCAGCTTGGACCAAGCCAGGTAAAAGGAAGCTCTTCACAAAGGGTCCCATCTGTACTTGGAAAGTACCTGCAAGTTTGGGATACATTAAATCTAGAGGATACTCAAAAGGAAAACAGTGCCACCTTCTAATCTCTGGAAAACTTAATCCTAGTCAAGACTTTTTTCATGATCCCTAGTGAAACTGGAATCAACTGAGGTCTTAGGCAACAGACTAGACCTGGAGACTGGACGACCTGTGAGGAAAGTGCTATTGAAGTCCTCCACCTCTGGATTTCCTTATTCTCTCCTGGGTCAAACAGAATTTAGACCCAGGAGGCCAGTTTGAGTCCTAGTTTAACCTATCTGTCCCCTTGTATCCTGGGGTAAGATGACTGTGTCTTGTTATTCCTCAGCAAAAGTTGGAACATAGACCTATTAGCCCAGAGTCTATGAGAAATCCTGAATTTCACAAAGGTTTTCTGTGTGACATATGTAGTTAATCAATTAGGAGGAATGTGAAATATACTCATGGATTGGTAAATAGTAACTAGTACTACTTTCAAAGACAGGCAGTAGCTACTATTTTTGACTGCCTACTGTGTATATATATATTAAACCCTTTGTATATATTTTTTCTCACTTAAAAAAATTTGTATAAAATGAAACCAACACATAGGGGCTAATCTGTCTTTACTATATGGAATGGTTGAGCCACAAGAAACATTAAGGAAAATTGCCTGTTTATTAATAGGCACAAGCTTATTAGCAGCGGAGCCAGAATTTAAATATGATTATCTTAAAACCTTCTATGGTAGAACCCAAATCAGGTATAGGCCCAAACCATCCTGGGCCTCAGGGTAAGCCTGAAGGAAGGTGTCAGGTGGCTTTGGAGGTAAGACAGCCCCAGTAATGGGAGATGAGTGGACAGGGTTTGGAGGCCAGGTTCAATTATCAGTTCATGGTGGCAGCCAGAAGAGTTGAGGTGCTCTAAATTCAAGAGAATAACGGAGAGGTTAGAGGCACAAGGGGTAGGGATAAAATTGTTAGAATTATTTTGGAGTCTGGGGTAGAAATCCAGGAGTTATGGGGCTAGCTTCTGAGTCTAATATTTTATCTCCCTTTTTAGAGCTGCTTCCAACAAGTCTTACAAAGTCCATCAAAATTACGAGACAGTTACCGACATTGATGCCATTCCAAGCTTCCTGCTCACGGGGTACCTGTTACAAATAGTTCTTTTAATCAGCACTTTCAATTAGAACATCGTAAATTCTAGCTTATAACCTTAAGAAAAGTAATCTATCAACTTTAATTTTAAAATGTTTTTCCAAAGTACTGAAACATATATATTTTACCTATTAGTCTTTATGGTATCACTTTGTTAATATAAGACCTGTATATACAGTTGCAAGAATTCTTTTCTTTCTTTGTCTTACTGTAGGAAACAATGGTTCAGCCAGATGAGGAGTACTATCTTGCATAAATGTATCTGAGAAAAGACCTCCACTACCTCACTAACTTCACTGTTGGAATGCCACTTGGTTTTTATCAAGATCGCGTGAATTCAGACGCTGAAACTCCACTGTAGTTTGTCACACTTGAACCATTAAGGCCAGGGTTTTTGTAAGTCATGTGCACATATGGGAAAAGTTGTATAAAATTTAAAACAGGGTCCTAGATTGCTGAGTATTTTTCATCTTTGAAATGTGCTATTATAAAACTAATGCTGAATGTAACTGTAAATTTGAATCTATGAATCGTTAAAATCTAGTTACAAAGAAAAATATACACTTAGGCTCCACTTCATTCGGTGTCTAAAGTTATTTTTGGATTTTGCTTTAAAATCTATTTTTGTATGAAAATAAAAGGTAAAATAAATTTGGGGCTATAGTCTGACTTTACATTTCACAGTAAAGCCATCATATTATCTTTATTCTAAGAAATTACAATCTTTCAAATAGTTTCCTATAATATGTTGTACCTATCAGAGAATATATTTCATCTTTTGAAATACCTACTATAAAACTACTAGAGGCCCAGTGCATGAAAATACATGCGCTAGAGTAGGGGGTCCCTCAGCCCTGCCTGCCTCTGCTTACAGTCAAGGAGCCCTCAGGTGGGAGGCGACCTGGCGATCAGGGGAAGGCAACGCCCCATCACACCTCTGCTGCCGCCACTGCTGACAGCACAAGCCTGGGCTGGCCCAGAACAACTGAGCAGCTGCCATCAGAGGCTTGCTTGTGCCCCAGCTGACCCTGCTTGCCTGAGCCTGTCAGTGTGTGTGTGTGTGTGTGTGTGTGCAGGAGGACCCAAGGCCTCCGGCAGGGCTGAGGGGACTCTGTCGGCAAGTGCACTGAGCAGCCAGCCCTGCCCCACTGTGGGTGTCATCTTGTATGTGATGGTCAATTTGCATATTACCTCTTTATAATATAGGCTTATATTTCAGGTGCTTTTCCTCAATCAAAATAATTCTTTGGTGGAAAAGTAGAGAATCTAACCCAGAGTAAATTCAAACTGTGTTTAGACTTAAAAAAATTTTTGTTTTACTGTAATGCCTCAACTCCAGGGCACAAGAATACATTATTTCTCTAAAAATAAGAATAGCAGCTCTTGGTCACAATGAAATATGTGGCATCAGAACTATCACCATGGGATAGTGAAGTATGAAACCCCATGTAGATTAGGTTTTAAAATATTTCCAAGGACACTTCTAGGCCCCCTAGACAGCTGCTGATCCATAGCACATAGTTATGCCATGTTACTACAATACAGAATAGCAGTGCAGTAATCCTCATCACTTAGATTTATATTCCTAAAAACTTGTTTGGCTACAACTGGACCTTTAAGATATGGGATAAACATAGTACAAAGACAACAATGGAAGTGACATCAAATTTGCTAGTACTTAGCAAGTTTTATAAGGCATCTATTCCAAAACAAAAATTGGTTTGGTAGTATCTTTTGTACTTACATTTTTCTTGGTTTCATTTTCACAAATCTCAGCAAAATGTTTAAAATCTTAGCCTATTCAGTTATCGAAATCTTTCAGGGATACATTTTCTTGTTCTATCCATGTACTGTATGTGAGGGTAAAATATCTTCTTTCTAAATTACCACATGAACCCTCTCTATATTCTCAAATAAACAGGAATGGAAGGTAATTAGGTCTCCTGTTTAAGGGTACACAACCACAAAAAAAAAATAAAAAAAAAAAATCATACTTAAAACTACACATATGTGGGCAACAAAGTTCTCAAAACTTTTTAAGAGTCTTCTGGAATTAAAGAAGTGAGGTAATTAGTGTATGAGCCAAACATTTGGTTCCAAAAGACTTTTCCAAAGAGTTTATTACCTCAGACTAGTATTGTGTGAATATCATCAAATCCGCCCCCCCCCCCCCCCCCCCCCGCCAAATCAAGTTTACTGTACCAAATAATTATCCACAGAAAATACTTGAACATTGTGGAATGTCTAATGCATAAAAGGTACTAAGCACCAATTACTAATCAGGAGGGCCGCTTCCCTAATAGGTGCAAGGCAATGAGTAACCCAGAGAACCTGGTGACCACATAGCTGTAAACTCTCATGGATTAAAAATTAAAAGAATTCACATTCTCTCCAAAGTGCACTTGCCCAGTGTCTGGCACATGAATGTTACAATATGACAATTTGCTCCTTTATTTTTGAGCACCCAAGTTTATTGCAGGGGATTAGACATGCAAATTACAGAATTTGGCCCCAAGTACAGTGAAGGGAGAACACCATCAGGCACCACAGGTGCTGATCTCACACTGAAAAAGGTTGACTGAAAACACTGCAAGTGTGATCTAAACACAAGGATAAAAACTCAATTAGTGATGTGGATTTATATGCTATGTACTAGACTTCTCTATCAACAAATAAGGATAATTCTGCAAAAACTGACAACTTATGCTAAATAATTGTTTACCTGAAGAAAATATGAAATCCTATTATAGTTCAAAAAATAATACAAACAATTTTAATCTAGATACAGGTACTTTATTTACAAATATTTAGATTAATAGCATTTTGTTACATCAAATGAAGAGTACAGCAGTCTGAATAAATCCTGTCACAAAACAATAAGACCCACTGTAACTAACTTTGGAAATTAGGGTATTGCACCTAAACAAGCCGCGGTCTTTAGTTTGTGATTGCTACCTTATATCCCAATGGGTGGTTTGTTTGTTTTGTCTTTGTAAATATATACACACACCGGGAGGTCATGGTCCCTGGGTGAGTCCCTTGTGATGCAACAGTGTGAGCAAAATGGATCACTGTAAGTCTTTAACAGAATATACCAACCTACTCGAGGAATCTTATTTTTAAAAAAGTTTAAGACAAATAAAAACGAGTCCCCAAATTAACCAAATTCTATTTTCTGCACATTCCAGTTTTGGCTTTTATTTAACATTGACTATACAATACTCTGGTACTACCATGTTTACAACCCAGAAAGTTGTATTTTTTTATTTTAGTGTCTGTAAAGAGGGATTTAAAATGTGTATTTTAAACACAGCAGTTGAGCTGAGTGCATTTTATATAATCTATCGAGGTTTACCTATCCTGTACTTCAATAACTTCTAAATTCCCAGCCTGATCTATAACCTCAGAAATCAGTCAACAAAAGTAAAGAACTTGGTAAAACCTAAGTTTCTTATCTAAAGAAATAAGATTGTTTCCCTTGTAATACTGTATTCTTCAGTGGCCAAACCATCTCAAGTAAAGTAATAACTTACTTTGTACCAGCACAAACATTGAAACACTATTAGAAACACTTTCCCTTTTATAAAACAATATATGCCAACATGACCAAAAATAGCACTTCATACTAAGAACACAAGGGATATCTTAAATTATTTTACTGTAGTGTTAAAAATGCACAATTTAAAATCCCTTAACAGCAGACCTATGGTTCTGGCTGTCTCATCCAGAATCTCAACCATTCCAAGAAGATAAAGGTATAAAAGCTTAAAATGTGCAATAATAAACCCAGCCTTTTTTCTTTTTCTATACAGTAAGGCAAGAAATGCAGCCTGTAATGCAAAAATGTTTACAAAAAGAGAAAAGCAGGTTTGCACATTGTTGATTGCACAAGAACAGTTAAGAAAATTTGCAGGTAAGCCACAGTGCAAAGATGAACAAAGATGAGCTAGTGTTAATCCTCTCACGCTAGAAGCTCTTTACAGCATAATGTCCCCAAATTGCCAGCACCAATGGGTGGAGCCAATATTACTTGTGAACTGCAGTTGTGTCTATATCCTTGTGTGAAATGAAAGGGAGTAACATGGTCACATATAGGTCTTGCTGTACAAACTGGTATTTTATACTGTTCCAATGCCAGTAATCAATTTATTTTCTTCATTAAAAGAATATACACAGGATGTATTGTTAGTTCAGTTCCTTCAAAATTTATACATATTTACTTTCTGCTAAAGAGAAAAGGATAAAATGATGTAAAAAAAAAAAAAAAAAAAAAAGCTATTAAGCACAAGAGAGAAGCTGATAAATGGATATTTTCCCTGTACAAGGCTAAGACAGAAGCAAACCTCTTTAAGAAAAATGCCACCCACACAACAGGGAATTTATCTGACAAAAACAAAAGCAGTTATAGAACCCCTTCTCTATCACCAGAAGCCATTTCACAGCAATAAACTTCTCGGTTACAAAAGACATACTTGAACAGTTAAAAGATGGGGAGAAAGGCTTAAGATATCAAATTAAACCGTACAGTGAGACAAAGCCCTGCCAAAAAGAGGGAAGGGTAAAAATCATGAAGTCCAGCATCAGTGCTCAGTTTAAATCATGTATTGGTGACATACCTAACATGAGGACAATCAAAGGGGGGAAAAAAAGTCTAGATTTACCATGCAGGAGAGATTACTTGCTTTTGATAACCTGATTACACCTAGTTGTTTAGCAGTTTAGTATTGTGTTAAACTGTTTTTAAACAGAGTTTTTTTTTCTTTTGTTTTTTTAATTAAACCCAGTAAGATGTACAGAAGACAACAAGGCAGTAAAAAGTACTGCTTCCAACAGACAGAGGTGAAAGGTCAAATGAGAGCCACAGCAAAGAGGTCACTAGCAGCCACAGCCTTCTCTCTGGGGTTGGGGTTCACTGGTTAGCCGGCCTCCCTGCGGAGCTGAGGGTTTGTGCTGTACACCAGACTCGGCAGCATTCAGATCCAGGCTTCCATCCTGAATGTTCTGATAGATTTTCTTGGCAGCCTCGAGGAAAGCATCTTCTACATTCTCTCCCCTAAGAGAAAATTGACAACTTTATTCGAGAACCACAGTTTTCTACAAAAGATAAGACATTATACACTGACCTTTTGCTAAACTTTAGTCAACTGCCATGATGTCTTCAACTTAGCCACTGTTATCTAATAAGAGATTACCAGAAGACTGAGCTAAGAGAACAACATGGGGAAATATTTTCTGTGGAAAGCATATAAACACAGTACTGAGCTGTTTCTACAAACCCTATTTGATAACTATGTGTTCTAATCATTAAAATGCTAACATACTAATATATAACAGGGAAGAAAGGCCATTTCTGTAATAACAGAGTATTCCACTAGAAGTGAAATCTCCAAACATGCAAAAATGATTCCTGAATCTGAAGAGTCTGATTAGCCAAACATGAACTGTTCTGTTTTTCATGTGATGGTGGCATATTCATTCTTAGCCATATTCACACTTCAGTTCTCTTAGGACTAACAGTACAGATTAATAAAAAAGGGGCTAACTTCTTACCAATGCAAGGAATTTTTGGCTTAAATAAATAACTATAATGAGAGTCCCGGGGTTCAATAATGGGCATAGGATAGTAATTAGAAAACGTTAATTATGTTTCTAATTACTCTTAGACATTGAGTATTTCCTTAATTCATGCTTTTTACCATGAGAAGTATTAAATAGGTTGACCAAGCTTGAGTCCATGATGCCAAACTCAACTTCAGTTGTGAAAGTCCTACACTTGAAATGTTTACACAATTTCATTTATTAACATTGCTTACCAGTGAGCAATCAAGGTATAATCTTTTAGGTAAAGTAACAAAAAATATTATTTTGTTTTAAAATATTATTGCTTACTGTTCTCTAGCCATAACTTTAGGTATTTATGTATCATACATTTTATGTACAGGTGACCCTTGAATAATGTGGGGGGGTTAGGGACCGACCTTCCTTGAAATCGAAAATCTGCTCTGAACATGCAAATTCCCAATGATGGAGTTGTCTCTTGAATTACATGGGTTTCAACTGTGCCAGCCAAATTGAACTACACAGGTCAATTTAAAAAATCCTCATATGTCCCTAGCTGTTTTGGCTCATTGGATAGAGCATAGAGCATCAGTCTGTGATCTGAAGGGTCCTAGGTTCCATTCTAGTCAAGGGCACATGTCCAGGTTGTGGGCTCGATTCCCAAGAGGGATCGTGCAAGGGGCAGCCAATCAATGATTCTCTCTCATCATTGATGTTTTTATCTATCTATCCCTCTCCCTTCCTCTCTGAAATAAAAATATATTAAAAAAGAAATCCTCAGCCCTGGCTGGTGTGGCTCAGTGGATAGAGCTTCAGCGTGAGGACTGAAGGGTCCGGGTTCGATTCCGGTCAAGGGCATGTACCTCGGTTGTGGGCACATCCCCAGAAGGGAGTGTGCAGGAGGCAGCTGATCAATGTTTCTCTCTCATTGATGTTTCTAATTCTCTATCCCTCTCCCTACCTCAAACAAAAAGAAAAAAAAAAGAAAGAAATCCTCATATGGCCCAGCAGATGTGGCTCAGTGGTTGAGTGTTGATCCATGAACCACGAGATCAACCAGTTCTGGTCAGGGCACATGCCCAGGTTGCAGGTTTGATCCCCCGTAGGAGACGTACAGGAGGCTACTGATTCATGATGTTTCTCATCTATGTGTCTCTCTCTCTATCCCTCTCCCTTTCCCCACTCTCTAAATCAATATGATTGGAATCATGCAGTTCACATCCATGTTGTTTATGGATCAACTGTATATATACATTATACATTTTTCATATCTATGTTGAGAAATTGGAATGTAATTGAAAATGATCTAATTTTAGCCATACTTACGTTTTTGCACTTGCTTCAAGGAACAATAAGCCTAAAAGTAAATTTCAGATTGATTAGGACATTTCACATGACCTCACAAGGACATTCTCTTTAGCAACATCTGAATAAAAGTTAAAGCTTCCCATCAGCTTTCAATATTTTATGAAAGAATATGAATGTGAAATAAAGGAAATAATAGTACTCCTCCCCCAACACATGAATTCTCAAACACATTTTGCAATTTCCTCACTCTTGAAAATTGAATAGTTTGCATTAAAAATAACTGTCAAATAATTTGCAGAATCAAAATCCTTAGGAATTCTCCCAAGGGTGACCCTCCTAAAAGCCATTGAAAGTCTTAAAAGAAACCCACCATTTTCTTCAGCGAACTGTTTGGCTTCTTCATAAGTAACATCTCTCTGTGCCTCCAAATCTGCTTTATTTCCTATGAGAATTATTACCTAATGTGTGACCAAAAGAAAAACATCTTAAAACAAAGCAACCAACTTAAATCAACCATAAAAATTCTGAATTCTAAAAATCTTGATAGAAAAAAAATTTGGGCCTAAAAAGAAAAACAAGTACTAGCAATTATCCACCAGACAGGACTGTAGAATCATGAAGCCATTAGTATTAACATGGATTCTCAGGAATCTTCTAGGTCAGGGGTTCACAAACTTTCTGTAATAGGCAGAGAAGATATATTCCAGGTTTCTGAGCCCCATGTTATGATTTCTTTATATATGTTTTTTTTGTGGCTTTCATCAGATTTTCAAGTTTCTATTATAGGACCCTCACAAAGTTTACAAACTACTAATTCAACTTCTTCAGGCTACTGGTAAAGAAATAAAGGCTCAGGTAAGGCTGACTTGTCAAAGGTCAGTTAATGAGTTAAGTGTTAGGAGGACATTAGAACCCAGGTATAACACTCAAACTATTAACTTCAGGCAAATACTGTCCTACCATTACCCCTCCCCCCCCAACACACACACACACACACACACACACACACACACACACACACTATCCTTAGGCAGGACTAAGTTTGTAGCACCTGATAACAAATGTCTGTGTATCCATTGAGGTAGTAGAAACACATATGCAGTGAATTCAAGTCCAAAGCAAAATATCATACAACTATATCCACTTTGGAATCATTTTATACAAGTGGAAGGCCAAAGTTAAAGACAGCTCTGAAAAGTTCTAAGAATAAGTGTGCAGCCGTGGGAAACAGGTTGTGTGTATTGTTGTTATAGTTTTTTTTTTTTTTTTTTTTGGGGGGGGGGATAAGGGAGAGGGCAACAGATTTATGAGTAGGCTGTTTCTGCCTATATGTTATTTGACACCAACTAACAAAGCCTCTCTCCCCTTCCAAACAGATGTGCTAAATCCAGATATGGATACTTTAGAAGTGGATGGTTTCAACTAAAAGGGATTTCCACAAACATTAACTTCTTTTCATGTGACAATACAACCCTCCCACTTCCAAAAACTAGTGTCCAATAAACTTTTAATCTGAATGTAATTGAGAATAGTTAAGTAGTATAACAACCTACTTCAGTCAACCTATAGGTTTGTTTATACATTTAGAGTTTAATGTGATATGGATATGAAAGTTAGGCAGTCCCTGTCATAATTGGCAAACCATGTTAACGGACTCTCATATAATTAAGTTAAATTAAATTTAATATAACTTAATAAAAGCCAGTGTTACCAATGATTACATGTTTATTGAACCAGGCTTCTACTAGATGCTGAGGTACACAGCTAGGTGAGATACAGGCCTTGTTCTGGAGAAGTTCAGAGTCACATCTCTGCCTTTCCTCACTTGGCCCAGAAATACCTCAGCAGCATCTACTAAAACCCCTGAAATCCCAGCTCAAACGTCCTACCTCCTCTCTAAAGCTGATTTCTCCAGATGCCACTGCTCATCCTGGGCTCCCATCAGCACACCAGTCACTCAATTCTAACTCATATTTTATTTTGCTTTTCAGCACAGTTATTTATAGTCCTATAGGTAATCTTCCTGCTAGACTATAACACTTTGTGGGCCAAGGATCCAAAATTATCTTTAGTTTATACTACAGAGTCTAGTATGGTGACTTAGCTCCTAAAAATCTCAGTATCTTCTCAGTCTAAGAAACTAATTTTTTAAAGCATGCAGAATTCTACTTTTAAATGAAATTTATTGAGATAATTGTAGATTCACATGTAGTTGTAAGAAATAATGCAGAGAGATCTACACTTTGCCCAGGTTCCTCCAATAGTAACATTTTATGAAACTAATGCAGATCCCTTTTAAAGTGGTAGTTTCAGATTTCATAGTCTCTACCACCATAACTTTTTTCCAACCACAAACATGAATAAAAAACAAATATAAAATGTGAGACCTGGGGTAATGAGTGCTGGAGGGAAAAATAGTACATTTTCTTCAATTAATTTAAGAATAAAATAAAGATTCTCATTCTTAGTACCCAAAAATCCCACTAACAAATGGCTTTCCTTTTGAGGTCAGCTTAGATCTTAGATATCATTTAACTTACAGTATTTGGATTGGTGAGATTCCTTGCATCTGTCAACCAGCTGCTTAAGTGGTTATACGTACTTCTTCTGCAAAATGTAAAGTTTACATTTATGACTGCCACATATAATTGCCATTTCAGCAGGAAAAAAAAGAAACTTAAATAAGTATTTAAAATACAGACTTTAATTAACAGATCCTAAAAAGTATTTTTGCTTTGACTAGATTGTAACCTTAAAGAACAACAGTTATAGAACTCAAAGACATACAATACGCTGGTATAAAATTCACCTTTCCAGGGAAGGGATTAGATGTACAAATTGTCAACTGTAAAAACAGTCAAGAGGCCGAAACCGGTTTGGCTCAGTGGTAGAGCATTGGTCTGCGGACTGAAAGGTCCTAGGTTTGATTCCGGTTAGGGGCATGTACGTTGGTTGCGGGAACATCCCCCATAGGGGGTGTGCAAGAGGCAGCTGGTCGATGTTTCCCTCTCATCGATGTTTCTAGCTCTCTATCTCTCTCCCTTCCTCTCTGTAAAAAATCAATAAAATATATTTTAAAAATATATTTTAAAAAAAACAGGATATAAAGTACAGAATGGGGAATATATATTTCAATAACTGGTGTCAGATGGGTATTAGATATACGGTGATCACCATTTAAATTATAGAAAGGTCTAATCACTATGTTGTACACCTGAAACTAATATTGTTATGTCAACTGTATTTGAAAAATATAAAAACTGTTCAAAATTAAAATCCACCTTAATAAGTTAATTATAGCAGCATAAAAACTGGCTTAAAAGCCCTGACTGGTGTGTTCAGTGGTTAGAGCGTCAGCCTGCTGACCACATGGTCTTGGGCTTGGTTCCTGGTCAAGGGCACATACCTGGGTTGCAGATTGGATTTCAGGCCCCAGGAGGCAACCAATCGATCTCTCTCTCACATCGATGTTTGTTTCTTTCTCTTTCTCCCTCCCTCTGTCCCTCCTTTTCACTCTCTCTAAAAATCAACTGGAAAATATAACCTTGGGTCAGGATTAACAAAGAATAAAAACTGGCTTTGAAAAAAAGCACTGAATACATGTGACTAGAAATTCAAGTTCCCAGATACCAGAATGTGAGTTTATCCTAACTTTATATTCTTATTCATCAGAGCTAAATCATTTTGGGATTCAAACTGCCCTATTTCTCCACTTTCTAAAAGAAAGAGTTTAAAAACTCATAGGCTCATTTGCACTAGCCAAGAAAGCCCTGAAATAGCAAGCAAGCAAACCCAAATAATTTACAATATTATAAAGGGTATAATATTAATGAGACATTACCAAAGGGATCAAAAGAATAAAAATTTTAAAGATTAAAAATGTTTTTTATTTATACAGATTCACAGAACATTAATCCATCTTATTCATTTAACAGATGAGGAAACAGAAGCCCACAATGATTTAAATGGTTTCAGAGCCTAGGACCTTTATACACACTGGATCCTAAAAATGTTTCAAGTTTAGCTCTGTGAATAGTATATTCCATAATATTCACTTGCCAGCTCTCATTTGAAATTCAATATTCAAAACATTTAATTCTTTCCTAGAACTGAAAGGAACTCCTTACTCAGACTCTCTTTTTTACTGTGCTATATCATATACACAAATTACCACTTAAATGTACAAAAAAAGACACGTAAAAATCATAACTTTTCCCAGTGTTTTAAAAATTTTAAATAAGCAGTAGTCAAATACTTTTTTAAAGCACAAGCATTATCACTGCTCAATATTTGTAGTACCAGCATACCTTGCTTTTACACAAAAATTTTATCTTACTTTGTGCATAAAACCTTAAATAACACAGCTCCAAAACATTTATACTGATTTTGATGAATATTAAATTGTCAACGCTGGCAGAAAGTTAATTACAAACTGGCATCACTTTAGTAAACAGAAAAATTTGCACATCCTTTGTAAGTAATATCAAGATTATAAAAACCATATTATTTACATGTACCATATAACTTCTGCTCATTGATCTGGTAATTGTTTCATTAATTTAAAATTCACAATCATAATTTCAAATCTATAAATACAGTATCATCCAAATATTCATTACATGGTGGTATTAGAGCTAAAAAAAAAAAGTGCTAAAATATCCCTAACTTTGTCATGGATGTTAGATATATCAAACAATTGATAGAGCCATACAAATTACCATGATAAGCCACCAATTTAGGAATGTATCCTGTAACGATTAGAGTTAATGCCGAGAATTAAAGTATTATTAAAGCAGGAACTTATAAGTTTGCAAAATGTCAAGGATTAATAGGAGAAAAAAAATTGGGGTAGTCAAAGGGGAGGAAACACTATCATGGCTGCAACATCAATGTCACTGTGAAGTATCACTGAGTCAAGAAAATACCTAGCTAAAGCCTAAGGTACTTTTTACCAGTAAACAGTTTTATTGGGATATAATGAACATACAATAAAGCTCAACCTTTTAAGGTCTACAATATAGTGGTCCTAAGAATATTCACAAAGCTGTGCAATGATCACTACTTTCTAATTCTAGAACATTTTCATCATGAAAAAAAAAAAAAAGAAACCCCATACCCATTAGCACTCCCTCCCTATCCTCTAGCATTCTCCTTTATCTCCTTTGTCTCTACACATTGGGCTAGTGTGGGTACTTCATATAAATGGGATCATACATGTGGCCTTTGTTTCTGGCTTCTTTCACTTAGCAAAATGTTTTCTAGGTTCAGCCACTGAATAGCATGTATCAATGTTTTTTTCCTTCTAATAGTTGAATTTTATTCTACTGTATGCATATACCAAACCTATTCATCCATACATTCATTAGTTGATGGGCATGTGGTTTGTTTCTGGCATAAGTACTTTTGATAACTTAAACAGATAAACATTACCAAAAGCATTTACTATGCTTTAAAGGTCTGTTTAAAAGCAAAGTATGTATGGATCAAATCATCACACTGTATGCCTTATACAGTGTTATATGTCCATTATATCTCTATAAAGCTGGGGGGGTGAGGGGGGGGAAGGACACATACACCAAAAAGACAAACTACTACTCTATACATTGATATATTGTAAGCACAAATAGCAGTATTTAAAATTTATCAATTCATGGAGTTTTTATAATTACATGAAGTCTTTGGGAATGTATCTCTCATAAAAAGGTCTTATACAGATGACCAAGTTTTTAAATAGTCTTCCCACAAAACTATTTACTGATCTCTGCCTGGCTAAATAGAGCCATTAAGGTTGTTTCACTCTTTTAACCCTGAAATTATCCAAGCCTAGGAAATAGCATAAAGCATTTCCCAGAGGAAAATATGCTTGAAAGTCTATCACTTGGTCCCACTCACTCGTTCCTATGCCACCACCCCAAAATCAGTCACAATGCCTCTTAGACTGACACTTTGCATTAATGTGAAAGGTGACTCAGTTCATTTTCTAACATGCAGTAGACAGTTTAATGAAGTAACACAATTTTCCATGTTTTCCAAAGTCAAACAACCAGGGTACAATTTTGTTACTTTGTAATAAAGTGCTTTGACTTTCCAGAAATAATTAAGTTGAAATAAATTTAATCTCCTGCCTCAAGTACTTTTGTCAAGTAGAACAAAAAATAATTTAATTAAATGCTCAAACTTCAAAGTGTAAAAGCTTTTTATAATCTAGTGTTGGATTAGCAAAATTACTTAATTTCTTGCTTGGCCTTATTTTGAAGAAGTGTAAACTTTAACATTAGACACTAACTCCTCAAGACTTGCTTGCTTTTTACTGAAGTGAAAAGAACAAAGTTTGGTATAAAATATTATTTCACCTCAAATAATTCAACTGATGCTGTTTTTCAGAATAGTATTCTTCTGTCAGCTCCACCAGCATCTCCTAAAGTTTTTCTTCAGTCATACCCACTTTCAGCAAAGGAAATCAACACATTATGTCAAGTCTTAAACAGCAATTTAGAGAAGAAACCATAAAACCCAAATAAGAACATTTATTATAGTCACACAATTATAAACTAAGAAATGTTTGAATCAATAAAAAGAAACCATACTGCCTAAAAAAGATTTTTTTCCTAGTATGAAGGTTGAAAAGTTAATTTCTTACCTAGTGATATCATACACCATAAGCGCTCCTGCAGCTCCTCTGTAGTAGCTTCGTGTAACAGCCCTAAACCTCTCCTGTCCTGCTGTATCCCATATCTGCAGTTTGATTTTTTGGCCACTAACTTCAATTATTCTTGTACCAAATTCAACACCAATTGTGTGAGGACAATCGGCCATAACTGTTAGGGAGGAAAAGAAATATAATATAACATCCCAACTTCAAGAAAGTTTCAAATTTCTTCTGCTTCAACACAAATTAATATCAGTGGGGAGAAAAAATCCACTGTTTAATCAAATGACTTAGTAATGCTTATAGGCTATAATCAGACTAAAGCTTGTACATAAATAATAAATAAATAAATAAGCAAAAACCCAGAAGAAGTCATTGACATGTTCTAGAACACGGGTCAGGAAACTTCTGTAAAGGATTAGATCATAAATATTTTAAATTTAAAAATAAAGATAGTAATAAGCTTTTCAAAATACCAATGTTATATTTATCCCTCTGACAATCCTTACATATAACAAACCAATCAATGGTCTTAGGACTCAAGATTTATTAGTCAACCAAATTTTTATCCTGGAAAATATACTAATACCTCAAAGAAAATCACCACGCTTACTACATATTTATAGTTCTATATTAGCAAGTTATATATGTCTAATCCAATCGAACAAATTTATTAGTCCTTTCCTTATAATAAGGCCTCTGGAAACCTAAACCTACTATTCTCTGGTAGAAGCACACACAGACCAATGGACACTTCATAAAATATTGTATTATGAAAAAAGAAAAGCACAGAAATTATTTCAACTACATGGAAACAATTTCAACTATATCTGCCTATTAGTTACATAAAATAAAATGGCCCCTCCCATACCACCCAAGCCAGAGTTGTACTTTGAATCTTAATCAAGACATGAATACAGACAGGATTCCATTTTAAGTATTTCCGATCTATTATTATATAGTTAACAAATGATATATTCAGCAAAATTCCCCTAATAAGATAATTTTTATAATGAAAGTCTGAGAATGTAAAAATTTAAATTTGACATTACAGTATATATTTTTAAAAATTAAGTTTTACCATAAAAAAGTCTTAAGTGAATCAAATTATATATGACACATAAAAATTAACACTGTATATGTGGGCATATTTCATTTTATCTGCACTTATTTAAAAATAGAATCATTCCCTAAAGACAAAAGTGCGTATGTTCAAATACATAGAGAACACTAAAAATGACACTTTAAAAGGTAAAGTGACAATAATTTACTCATATTTTACCTTACATTTTAAACTTACATTTTTTTTCTGTAAATTGATGAAGCAAGCAAGATTTTCCTACTCCCATGTCCCCTGTTTTAAAAAAAAAAAGTTTCAAGTGGTAATTACATTTCTCAATTTTACACTCATAATTATATACAATGTCTGCATACAATATCATAAATTTCTGAGATACTTAGAAAAATTGCATTTCCCTAATTTATAATGAGTTTAAAAATCCTATAGGTCATTTTTCACTGAGATGTACAAATTCACTATTCCCAACTTTCAGCAGTAATAGAGCCTAGTTATAAATTATGTTACTAGCCACCAGCTGAGAAGTGTGGGTTTTTTAAATTTTTTGTTGCTAATTCTCACCAGATAATATTTTTTTCATTGATTTTGAGAGAAGGGTGATAGGAAGGGACAAGGATGTGAGAGAGAGACATGGACTGATTGCCTCCTGGGGCCTGGGATCCAACCTACAACCCAGGTACATGCCCTTGACCAAAAATCAAACCTAAGATCCTTGGGTCAGCAGGCCAATGCTCTAATCACTGAGAAATATTGGTCAGGGCAGAAACTGCCTTTTTTTAAAAAATAAATAAATCTTATTGATTTTTTTACAGTGAGGAAGGGAGAGGGACAGAGGAATACAGAGTTAGAAACATCGATGAGGGAGAAACATTGATCAGCTGCCTCCTACACACTCTCTACTAGGGATGTGTCGACAACCAAGGTACATACCCTTGACCAGAATCGAAGGGACTCTTCAGTCCATAGGCGGACGCTCTATCCACTGAGCAAAACCAGTTAGGGCATAAAGTGCTTTCGTAACAGAGAAATTGTTCTAATCATGTTTTTCACTTTGAGCTGTTTCAAAGTTTTACGTTGTTCTTTCTCTTAACAATGCATAAAAATAAAAGACTCCTAGGAGTAACAAATAGGGCAGCAGCATATATCAAGCAGAAATGAGTTTTTGAAGCCTGATTCACTAGATCCTATCTTATCTCAAATTTTTTGGTGTGTGCGCAAAATTCCACAAAAAAGAACATGCACTACATGGAAACCATAATAGAACAAGTGTCACTTCAGTACTATAGCAATTTAATCTTTGGTGAAGGAAGCATTCCACTATAGTCACTTAAGATCAACATTAAACCAAACTGTTCTCATTTGTAGAATTAACTGAAAAGAATATGTACTTTCAACTGTGCTCTTACAACTATATTTGGATAAACAGCATTAATTTGGTTTGGAACAGGGGTCCTTTCAATTTGAGTAAAATCGCCTTGAAACTTAAGGAAAAAACCATCAATATTATATTTACTAGAGGCCTGGTGCATAAAATTTGTGCACAGGGGAGGGGAAGGGGCGGTGCTCCTCAGCCCAGCCTGCACCCTCTCCAATCTTGGACCCCTCGGGGATCAGGCTTAAACTGGATGTCCCTCTCACAATCTGGGACTGCTGGCTCCCTAACCACTCGCCTGCCTGCCTGCCTGATTGCCCCTAACCACTCTGCCTGCCAGCGTTACAGCCCTCTAAAGTTTAAACACTCCCTTGCCAGCCTGATTGATGCTTAACTGCTCCTCTGACAGCATGATCATCTCCAATTGCCCTCCCCTGCTGGCCCAATCACCCCCAACTGCCTTCCCCTGTGGGGCTGAAGGGACTCAGCAGGGGTCCTCAAACTTTTTAAAGTGGGGGCCAGATCACAGTCCCTCAGAGAGCTGGAGGGCCGGACTATATGAACTACTAATTCCTACTGTAACACCTCGGCTGCGCTCACTGCCCAAAAAACCTGGTGGGCCGGATCAGACTCCTCTGCGGGCCGCATGTGGCCCGCAGGCCGTAGTTTGAAGACGCCTGGTAGGGGATTCTGGCTGGATGAGGCAGGGCTGAGGGAACTGAGGCTAGATGAGGTGGAGCTGAGGGGACTGGGTGCCACCATCTTGTGAAGGTGTGATGGTCAATTAACACATTCCCTCCCTTATTAGATAGTATGTGTATTACACAATTGTTCTGAATCAATGTTTGGAATCCAAAAATTGGGTTCTGTAAAATTTATGATATTTTTGGAATGTATCCTCACTCCTAGGAAATTAATTTATTTTCCAGTATTAACAAGCTTTCAGATATCTCCCAAGAACAATCAAGATCACTTCAACCAAGATACATTGTTCTACAAAAGTATCCAGAGCCACAAAGCAGTGAGTCCATTGTTAATGCAACTATAAATTTCAAAAGACTTTTAATTTTGCACTGAGAAAGTCATCCACTTCTGGAGTGGTATGTTAAATATTAGTATATCAATATTTTATATATTAACCTTCTTTGGAGAACAAGAGTGTAAGTTAAATAAACTTACCAATAATAATATATTTAAAGATGTAAGAGTAGTTGTATGGTGCAGTTGCCATGGTGGCACTAAAAACAAAGAAAATGTTGTTACTTCAGTAGAAAAGTACATATTATTTAAACTGATGACTGCTATCAAAGGTATATAAAATAAAGCACACTGATTATAAACAAAATGTTGGTTATAGTAATTTGGAGTAAAACTGCATTTCCCAAATTGATCAAATGCACAATTTTCATGAATGAACACTGTTTTAATATTCTCATGCATAATCCATGGAAATATAAGAATTTATTCATCACATTTGAATAAAATTAGATTAACTCTAATTCTGATCATCACCCTAACTCAGTGGTTCTCAACCTTTCTAATTCCCAGCAATTATATCTAAACAGTTCCAATATTTCACATTAGGAAATATTTAATAACAAATGTTATTCTGGAAAATGTTCAACAAGGAAATATTTATAAGTTTGAATTAACTATCATTATAAATAATCCTCTTCTCCTCTTTAAAACCCATCCCTATTACTGGTCAAGTGACTTACTGATGGCCTACTTGTTCAGAACTTGCTGATTTTTAAAACAGAACCTTTTTTTTTTTTTTTAGTAACCACTAACTTATAAACACAATGTAACTTTTTTATTCCACTATAAATTGATGGTTAGCATAGTATTCAAAGAAAAAGCAATCATTATTCCCAAACCAAATTAACGTCAGATTTATAAAGAACCATATGAAACTGTTCTTGTAGATTTTTTTAAAAAGGCAATCATTGGCAATTTCATATGGTTCAACCTATGTAAGATTTTAAGATTAACAATATATCAAATGTCTGCTATTTAAGGAGCTGAGAGAAATAATGGCATAAAGTATTACTTATGATTGTAAAATTTGGAAGTTTACGTGTCAAAATATATTTCAAAAGATCATAGCCCATCCCATAACTTCAGACAGGCTTACCCTAAAGAATTACATAATTTCACTCCTTTTAATTGGTTAAAAAAAAGTACTCCAATTTATTCAAATGAACGTCTTGAATGTGTCAGACACTGTTAGATGCTAGAGAAGAGATGAATTCTAATACTGATAATAACTTCCAATAAAATTACTCTCAAACCAGTTTTCAGTTTAAGCAAAGATAAAATTCTTTATATATATCTGAAGGTTTAACCTTCATTTTAAAAAACTTGAATTCCCAGTAATTTTTAAAATCTGGTTCTTACTGTTTTGGCCAACTGTCCATTATACAAGTTTATACAGTTGGTATGACTAAAGAACTGAAACATGTATTTCAAATAAAATTTCTATATAACCTATAGGAAAAGTATATATGTAAAATGAGTGGCTTATCAGGGAAGGGAAAGTTATAAATTACTGGACAATCATATCACACACATAGTCTCCTCTCTTAGTTTTATAAATTACATTCAACGAAAGTAGAGGCCCTGCTACCCATTCCAGCTTGACTTGTTTTAACACATTTATAATCAGTCTCTGACATCACAAAAAACTCCTTTAACCAGTTCTTTCAGGAAAGGGATTTTTCCTAGGTAGATTAATTCTGATCATCACCCTAACTCAGTGGTTCTCAACCTTTCTAATGTCATGACCCTTTAATACAGTTCCTCGTGTTGTGGTGAACCCCAACCATAAAACTATTTTCTTTTCTTTTTTTTCTTTTTTTTAATTTATTTATTATTTATTTTTTTAAATAAGTTTTTATTGTTCATATTATTACAAATGTTCCCCCCCTCCACCATTGCTCTCCTCCACCAGGTTCCCACCCCACCCTCTGCCCTTTCCCCACCCCCCATTGTGCTCATCCATAGGTGCACAGTTTATGTTCAGTCTCTTCCCCCTCTCCCCTTTTCCCCAAGAATCGTCAGTTCACTTCCCTTCCATACCTCTGATTCTATTATATTCAACAGTTACTATTGTTCATCAGATTTTTTTTTAATTTCCTTGGTTTTTAGATTCACTTGTTGATAGTTACGTATTTGTTGTTCATAATTTTTATCTTTGTTTACTTTCTCTTCTGAAAGAACCCCCTTTAGCAATTCATATAATTCTGGTTTGGTGGTGATGAACTCCTTTAGCTTTTTTTTATTAGTGAAGCTCTTTATCTGACCTTCGATTCTGAGTGATAGCTTTGCTGGATAGATTATCTTTGGCTGTAGGTTCTTACTATTCATCACCTTGAATATTTCTTGCCATTCCCTTCTGGCCTGCATGGTTTCTGTTGAGAAATCAGCTGACAATCGTATAGGTGCTCCTTTATAGGTAACTACCTTCTTTGCTCTTGCTTCTTTTAATATTCTCTCTTTGTCTTTTGCTCTTGGAATTTTAACTATGATGTGTCTTGGTGTGGTCCTCTTTGGATTCCTTTTGTTTGGAGTTCTGTGCGCTTCCTGGACTTGTAAGTCTAATTCTTTCACCAGGTGGGGGAAGTTTTCTGTCACTATTTCTTTCAGTATGTTTTCCATATCTTGCTCTCTCTCATCTTCTGGGACCCCCATAATTCTGATGTTGGTTCGCTTGAAGTTGTCCCAGAGGTTTCTTACATTATCTTCAATTTTCTGGATTCTCTTGCCTTCTAGCTTCTGTGGAGGAGTGTCTTCTGGCTCTTTATGTTCCAAATCTTTGACTTGATTCTTGCGATCTTCCCTTCTGTTTTTAGGACTCTGTAAAATATTTTTTATTTCAGACAGTGTATTCTTTATTTCTTGTTGATCCCTTATCATTTCTTGATGACTCCTTATTAATTCTAGTTGATCTCTTTTCATATCCTCATAGGTCTTATCCATCTTTTCTAGAAAATTCTTGAAAAACCTTATAAGCGTAGATTTGAACTCTATATCCAGACGCTTTTTGTCCTCCATTTCTTTTGTTTGTGATCTATTTTGTTGTCGCATTTCTCAGTTACAGATGGGACCCATAAAACTATTTTCGTTGCTACTTCATAACCGTAATTTTGCTACAGTTAATTTACATTACGTAAATGTAAATATCTGTGTTTTCTGATGGTCTCAGGCGACCCTGCTAATCTTTGAGGGCAGGGCAGTCAATTAGCATATTCCCACTAGCAGGGTCGCCTAAGACCACTGAAAAACACAGATATTTACATTACGATTCATTAACAATAGCAAAATTACGGTTATGAAGTAGCAACGAAAATAGTTTTATGGTTGGGGGTCACCACAACATGAGGAACTGTATTAAAGGGTCACAGCATTAGAAAGGCTCACTGCCTTAATTCCCTGTTTTTAGACACTAGGGACTCAAAATTTTAAAAAATGAACTTGGTCCTGAGGCAAAAATTTGTCTGAATTATTCACTAGATTTCTGAGCCATATCCCAAACACAAAGAAAAAAAATAACCTCTCTCAATAAAAATGGTATTTAAAGATTATAACATCTCAGCTTACACTCCTTCCAGATGTTTTTCTTCTAATTAATTTTTAACTCTTCTTTCCCCATTCAAACTTGGGGGAAATAATAATTTAGTAACCTTTAGCTTACTGTTTCTCTCATGTTCTTCCCCTTCTTATTTTCCTGTTTTTCTTTTCTTCCTGTTCTTATTGAAAGTTGTAGCTGTACATACTTTGCTTCCTTCCATTTTATATGAAAACTATGACCTCTAACAAGATCCATTCTACTACTTGAAATGCTCTAAAAGCGAATCATGAAATTACAACCCAATTCTAGTCATACTAATTTGCACACCAGCTAATTATCACACAAGTATCCATTAATCAAACATCTACTAAGATGACTAATTTGGAAAATATTTTTTTAAATTATCAAGCAATACTTGCTATCAACTATTTTCAAATAAAAAATTATTTCATACCTAATACCTTTGCTGTCTCTACTTCACCACACAATTTTCTAGTTCATTTCTTAAAAATTGAAATAAAAACCTTGAAAGCAGAGTTAAAGAAAAATAACTCAAATTTACTCATTTCAGTAGGTAAGGAAAGCAGAAAATATCTAGCACTGTAGCTACTAATGCATCAGGTTCTCCCTTTCTTACTCTAAGGTAAGATACTAAAGAGGTTTAAATATACTTCTATAGATTATTGATAGCATTCACGTAAAATTATGTATTTGCAGTAGAACTCTATTCAAGTGGCCTCTTTTATTTTTATTTACTTTTATTTTATTAAATTTATTGAGGTGACATTGGTTAATAAGATCATATAGATTTCAAGTGTACATTTTTATGATACACTAGAGGCCCAGTACATGAAAATTCATGCATGCACTGGAGGGGGTTTCCTCAGTCTGACTTGCCCTCTCTCACAGTTCTCGGGCGGGAAGCGACCCTGAGATCAGTGGAAGGCGACACCCCATCACACCTCTGCTGCTGCTACTGCTGACAGCCCAAGCCTTGGCTGGCCCTGGTTATTTACACCTCGGGCTGGCCCTGGGGGGCTGAGAGGACTAGAGGACTTCGGAGGGACTGGGTGCCATCATCTTGTGGCTGTGGGCACCACGGTCTTTGAGGGCAGGGCATCAATTTGCATATTCCCTCCTTACTGTCTTGGGCACTGCCACCTTTGAGAGCAGGACAGTCAGCATATTCCCTCCTTATTGGCTATGGGTGCCACCATCTTTGAGGGCAGGGCAGTCAATTAGCATATTCCCTCCTTATTGGCTGTGGGTGCTGCCATCTTTGCAATGGTGTGAGGGTCAATTAGCATATCCCTCTTTATTAGTTAGGATAATCTGTATGTTGCATATTAACTATTTAACAGTGCTTAAAGCAAGGATTTCCCAACCTCATTTCTTGAACATGAAACTAACCACTGTTAAAATTTATGAAAAATATATTTGTAACTAGCAACCATCTTTGGAAGGGGAGGGGGAGTTTTTTCCTATTAAGAGGTGCCTTTGCTTCACTTAATTGAAAAGTAAAAAATAAATAAATAAATAAATAAAAATTTAAAAAAATGCATTAGAAATGTTAATCTAGTTCAAATGCTCTGAAAACGAGTCCAACTTCTTAGCACTATAATCTCCACTAATTAAAAAACCTTGGTATTATTCTGTAATTGAGCACAA